TTTCTACAAGAGTTACAGCTTCACCACGTGCATGGAAGCTAGTAATTTCGTCATGATGTTGGCAAGGACAGATTACGGAACTTATCCTATCGTTGTAATGAAAACATCAGAATCGTAGCGGGCAGCCGTATCCGAAGATTCATTCCAGGCACAGGAACGGGCGAGAATTGAGGCAAAACTAGCATTCGGAATCGATTTTGGAATCCTGCTTCCGGAATTCGCCGAATTCAGCCATTTCTCGCCGCACCTCTTTGACCTGGATAGAGGACAGTGAAGAAGCCGTGTGAGAGCTCATTGATAACATAAATAAAAGACATTATGCCAAAAATAAGGAAAACAAAGAAATGCTCTATCTTCTGAACAAAAGATCAGGTGCACATAAAAATACTAGACTGAATAGTCATAAATGAGATGAAGTCGCAATAAAATTTTCAATCGGAAAAGGTGTGTTCTAATAAAGATATGAATAGAACAGAAAAACGTAGCGATGGTGGCGTCATCTATCACGGCACTTGTTTCGCTCGTTACTCTAGAACCAGCCAGCAATGGCACAAATTGTTTTTGCTCTTATATATCTATATTATCAAGATTAACCACCAACAAAACATGAGCTTGAACACCAGGTAACAGTTTGGAATTTTCAGTCGTTAGATCGGTATGAAATATGTCTTTTAAACAGTGGAAGAAATATTAGGCATTTCACGATAAACTATCATGCTATAGAGTTGAGTAACCATGGTCTTTCTCAAGTGCGAATCTGAGTACAGCAAAAATCGTGCTCAAGCATGAGAGCTTTGAATACGATTAGTTTACGCCATTACAGGATAACTATCGAGTATATATGAATGCACTTGTACACAAGATCAAGAGTGAAAGAAATTAGCTATTTGCTTCATCGTTGAAGGGTACAAATTGATATTTGGCACCACTTTTATATAACGCACCCTCCTATTGAACAGGACGAGTACGGATAAAGCCGTGTTTTTTTGCCCTTGAAATATTTTTTTAAAGTGTTAAGATCAATCCAACAGTAACGCTCGGTAACATTGCGAAGATTTATTTTGTGATATATCTTGATCAATTTTTCGAGTCACACCCGTACTTCTCTACGGGATCTACAAAAACTTGGCCATCTTTCTATACAGTACTAGTGTAGCTTAAAAATCGATCGAGAGACGTTACAAAATAAACCGTTGCAATGTTATCAAAAGTTGCCATTGAATTGACTTCAAAGTAAAACGCTGTAATTTGTTTTAGGTGAAAAACTGACTATAGCCGTCGTCATCTTGTCGGGTGCTTGATACTCGAGTACGACTACGAGTACTTCCAATATTTTGCCCAACTCTGCATTCAATACTCAACAATGATTTAATTTTGTTTTGATACTATAACTTGATACGAAGACAAATTGATAAGATGTGATAAGTAAATTATGATGAATTTTGACTGATCTAAATAGACTGATGCATCTTTCCTCATACAAATAGTCTTCGACATCAGTTTAAAAACGTTTTACATTTCCGAAAAAAGTGTGCACAAAGGAAATAACTTGTATACCGGTCGGCGAAGAAACCTCTACTAGATTAGAACAAATCGTATGGGCCCGTTTACTGTGATAGATTATAACTATGCAATAAAGTGTTTCACAGAACCGAAAATTGCATAGCAAAAGGTGTTATTGCACAACATCAAATGCATAACAGCTTATATAGGTGAGGCAATGAGTAAATGAACGCAAGGTCCGAAACATACAGGAGAACTGTTGGACCCTATCGTCACACTGTGGATAAATGTTTACTGCCAACCACTGTAAATGTATTACAAATCTCTTGTGTGTGTACCATGACTTTGCACTTAATTATTTTTACTTTTATCAATATACATGAAATTGTTACTATCCATTCATAAATTATTCCAAGCGTAGTGCATTATTCAGGTAAATGAAGCATAACGAAAAACGGTCCGTTCTATAGAATTTCATTTGAATTCAAACGATTATATCCGACAAGAGTTCCCGTCTCCATGTTCAGTTTGCACACCATTATTGCTACATTCGGGAAATATGTTCTAATGTTGTTGTCGTTGTCATCCTGATCGAATTTAGAAAGAATGATTCAAGTACCCATAAGAAGTTTGTTCCAAAATTTGTCTGAATATGGGTGTGGGTGTGTAGATCTGACTTCATCTATACCCACACAATGAAAATTCTTATCCGAACCGATCAATTTACTTGGAAGCAACAGTAATGCTTAAACTTTTAATTAACTAAGCGTTAATCATCAATCGGAGGCAGTATATCGATCAAATAACATGATTGCGTATTTTTGAGCCTTCATCTGGCATCCCACCAACACTTTGTAAAAAAGAGGGAAAAAAGAGGCTCAGTGTTCTTTGAAAAAAAGAGGATTTTTAATAAAAAAGAGGAGAAAAAGAGGCGTACAGTTTCGTTCGAAGAAAACTAAAAGTCACTGGCACAATAGTACTATAAATCCAACAAAACTCGTTCGTTATCAATATAGGTTGAATATGACTTGAAAGAGTAAAAAAAGAAACGAAACTTCCAATTGTTCATAGAGATTTTTGTGCAATTGCTTATATATGCATTAGAAAACGGGAAAACATTAGAAAATAGACTATTCTATTTGCATAGTATCTGACTATAATATTACTCTATCTGATTAAGTAGGCACACAGAAATAGAAACGATCAGAATTCATTAAACGTTTTTTTCTCTGCTTTTTGTTTCTTCTTTCGGATGACTGTGCATGTGAGAAAGGTATTTTTTCGTTTTTTTCAATTTTCAGCAATTTTTTCATAATTTTGATCATTTTTCGCAAGTTAATTTCGCTTTTCCGTTTTCTAGCGTAAATTAATACATTGGTTGCAATGGTGCCAAGACAATGGGTTTGTGAGAAATCGTTTGATCCCGTGCTATCGAAAATGCTTGATTTCTCCCAGTGAAATATGGTCATCTGCCTGCTTTCTGTAGAAAACGACTTATTTGTATTGGATAGATTGTATGATCCTCTGCTTTTTCGTCAGTGGGGCTCCCCTGTTTATTGCTATCGCATTCCATCATATCCAACTTCCAAGTATCATCAAACCGTTGTCAATATTAATCCCTGTCAAGTAAACACGCTTGTAATCGGAGAAATACGCCGTTTCACGTTGCCCAGTATTGCGATCGTATAACTCCGTGATTGTATGCGCAGAAATACGATCGCTTATGGACAAACAAAGCTCGTCTACGGCTTTCGTTTTACTCTGTATTTCGTCATATACGACTATATTTCTCCGTGTATGGCTTACAGATATACGATCGTCCGAAATGTGATTGTATACGGAGAAACTCGGAGAGAGAAGGATTACTTCATTTTGACAGTAAATCAATAGCGTAAGGTAATCTAGCAACATGCCACGACATCTGTAATCAACCCAATAATTTTGAAGGATCAGATATCGCCAGATGCAACATGAAAACTTTTATCGGTATCTGATAAGCAGGCATCTTCAACTTATGAGTTCATACGATCAGAAGCTATCTTGTCGAAGAAATCCTATCGAATCTGACAGGATTCTAGGATAGATCTAGCCACCCTGGAAACTTCTTCTTATTTTGACGCATGCGTTACGCTACGAGTTAGCTATCCATTGTTAGATTCATATCACAAGCTTTTCTGGGACTGAGAAAAATGGTCAAGAAAAGTAAGCCGATATTATCATTTTACATGTCAATCTTCACCAGAAAAACTTGCCAAGATTGTGAGAGAATGATGAGTTCACATTGGAAATATAATTGACTGATTTTGCCTCCACTAGAGAGCTATAAAAATTAGGTTCCAATTAGGAATATATAACATCGCTGAAGTTGATCACTCAAATCATATAATTTAGCCTCCTTACCCTAGTGTCAATCCTGCTCATTCCTTGAGGAACCCTGGAAGGATCTTTCAGGATCCTAAATCTCAAGGATTCTGTCAAGTTTTGTCCAGGATCCTATTTCGAATCCTGGTAATTCCTGTTTCCAGGATATTTCAAGGTGAAACAAGATTCTGTTCAAGGTTTCTTCAAGTTCCTACACAGATATTTTTCTGAGTTGAGAATAGAGGATCCTATCAGGATTTACTCAAGATCCTATGAAGGATTCTCGCAAGATTATGAGAGAGGGTTCTGCCAAGATTTTTTCAAGTTCGTGTCAAGATCTGTGTCAAATACAGGGTGGCCCAAAAGTCACGTTACCGAAAAAAAATTTCACATCTCCATTACGGCTCAAGCAAACGAACTGATTTTTTTATCAATTCAAGAGGCATGTTCAAGGTTTATATCCATAAAGATATGCCTATATAGAGCCCTTGCTAAGTGTCGATATTGATCTCAACAAAAAAAATATCACNATTTATATTTCTAGTATTCGACATTTTTACATTTCGATGTTTTTATAGTTCGACATTTGTATTTTTCGATATTTTTCTTTTCTACATTTTAACTTTCGACGTTTTTTATTCTACATTATTAGCTTTCGGCATTTGTATCTTTCGACATTTTTATTTTCGACATTTTTAGCTTCTACATTTCAGCTTCGACATTTTTGCTTTCGACATTACTAGGGGGAATCTTTTTCTAAAACCTTGGCGCATTTTTTGAAATTTAGGAAAAGTCGGTATCTTGGGATTAATATCGTTTGTTGATGGTTATAATGTGTGATAAAAATTTCAGAGCGTTTGATTTTGCAATTATGAGAACTCCTAGCTCATAGAAGATAGAAAAAGCAATTTCCTAGGTGCCAACTACATCCTAGAAGATGTTTTATTCGAAATATGCAATGCAGTAATGTAAGATTACATTAATTTATTTTACAAAAAATCGAACATTACTTAAACGAAACAGAAATACGATAGATTAGTTTAGTTTAGGTAAACCTACATGATAATTATTATGATTATTTTCTAAACTTGAGAATGAGTACCACATTAGTCAAACCAATCAAACCCATCTAAGACTTATTCATGACAGTTACAAGCACAAGGTGTAAGAGTTTTACCAGGTTGAAAGCCACCACCGAGACGACCTCGGAAATAAGAACCGCGAACAGCACCTCGCCAACAATCAGAACAATTATCACAGAGCACGTTTGTAGCAGACGATGAACTATTATTTGGTATTGAGGATTTAGCTGTGTCTAAAAAGAAATATTGATTAGTTTATTGATGATATGAATTCTATAACTTATGTCATTAAATCATAATGGCATTCTCGAAAATTGAATAAATCTTTCGTGCTGAACACAATGATTTCAGAAGTAAAGTTTGAAAATTGTAAGTGCATGAACTTACCTTCTTCTATTATCCTTGGTTGATGAGGTGGCCGACGGTCGGTTGAAGACTTTGAAATGTGCGCACTTTGCTGCTGCAGTTGTTCTTTCATTTCTTCATTTTCTTTTTGAAGTTTACCAATCTGAATTTGTTGTTGATTCACTTGTTCTGTAAGTTGTTTGTTGTTAGCAATAATTTGACTGAGCATGGCTCTTAATGCTGTATATGGACACGTTTTTAAATGCTCTTGATATTCTTCATATAATCCAGTCCATGGACATTCGATATCTGCTGACGAACATAGAATTTTTCGCTTCATACATTTTTTTATGAAATGTTCATCAAAATCGCCTCGCTCTATTCCTGTTTGTTTGCACAGTAGACATTCAACCGGAAGCTCATTAAGCATATCTAGTAAAATGTTCTCAGTAATCGATGTCACATCTTGAATTTTAACTTTTTGACGACACGATGGACACGATGAATCTCGTTGAAGCCAGTCTCTAATGCAATGACGACAAAATGCATGTTCTCTCGGTTGACACTTAGTTTTGACAGGATCAATGAAAGGATTGCTGCAAATCTTACATTTCAAACATTCACTGATGGAATTCTCATTGACATACTCGTAATTATCACTAATTGTCAATCGATTCATTTCAACTTTAATCTAAAATGATAATTCTAGTAACTTTAGTTTAGACTCTATATGGGACAAAAATTTGTAAAATCGCTAAAAATTAAATCTTTCAAAGTATGAAAATCTTAATCAATTCAACCGAAACATGTAGAAATATGAAAAATATTCACCATCTGAGAAAAAGAATTATCACTGATCAGATCATTCAATAGATTAATTTTCAAGTAAAACTACTCGATGGAAACTACAAATGTAATCATCATTTTTTTACAATGATGAACAGGTTGTTGGCCTTAGCCTATTCACTTCTTGACTTTTTCTTGTTTTTTCTCCCATTGATCATCTATTATTGGCTCAAGGTAACCTATCACTTTTAGCAATTTATTGCATTTGAAATTATGACCTAATTTGTACAATGTATAGTTATACCAAAACGAACGATCGACTAATATTATATATGAAATGATTCATTGAACTATCATAAAGTATGTATCTGTTATGCCATTGAAGTTACTTCTTTACAGTCATCACAATTCAGTCCCTCATGGTGAGCACGAATCTAATGTTAACTCTAGGTTTGGACAGAAATCGAATGACTTGTAGTCAATATACAAGTTACTCCTAGACAAACAGATTCAACAAAGTCACTTGATGTTTTATATCAAAAGATTTGCTTTGGTGAGATCATGTATGACGAGTTAAAATTCATTTTTGCAATATGTTATTATGCTTAGGGTCACAAAAAAAGATCGCCTTTCAGAGCTCATGCCTTTTTCATATCTTAGGAACTTTGTGGTTTTGATAAAGAATACTGGTGTCAATCAAATAGAACAATTTTGTAGTTGTATCGGATGAAGCCTATTTTTTAGATACAACAATAGAATAAAAATGAGTGTCCCAATTCGTTATATCCATGGACTACAATCGGAATGATCTAATATTTGCGTATAAACATGATTCTACTAGGCATCTCATTTGAGATCTTTGAACCGATTATTAGAAAATTTTTCTTCGGCGACCGATGAGCAAAATATAACATCAGTTCTTATGAGAACCGACGTGCTACTGGTGGCAGTTCAAACAAAAGTGCAACATGTGTAGTCAATCAACTAATGGAAAAGAAAACTTAGATCACATACTTTACCATTAAATTACATTAACTGAAGTTTTGTTATGAAATTACTATTAATAGACTTCATCCTATTTTTTCCTGTAATTTGGATGTTGAACATTGGAGTAGAAACTGATGGGAATAATAAGTCAATTTTTGATGCAATGAAATCATTGATCTCATCTTGTTCACATGTAGATTCTAGTCCTTTTTTCCAAATAATAGGTTAAATAGAGGAAAGAATTGGCATTGATGATGATCAACTCGTCTTTCAGATCAATTTCTCATGGAAATAATCACTTGATGTAGCCAGATACTGGTAAATAAAAGTATGAAGATACACGCAAATCGAAACAATATTTTGTGAAATGTTCAAAAGTACTAGAGAAACATTTACACGTCTTATTATAACCTTTTTGTATTAAGATCAGAAGGAAAAAACCAACACAAGGTAAATGTTAAACAAAAATCGAACGGCTTCGACGATACACGTCAGACAAGAAAAAAACAAGGAGTTGTTTGGACTTCTCAACGAAATCAGCACGTCACTTTTTTTGCTTATTCTTATTTTTTTGAAAAAAATTACTTATTCTGTCTGCGTTTTCTGTTGACATATCGAGTTTGTTTTTTTACAGTGACTTTAATTGGATTTTTCCACAAGCACATGACTATACACTTTCTCGCTTGATTACTTTTGTTTTACTAACCGAAAAAATTCATTTCTTGAATGTAAATGAAGCTAGTATGGATCAAACCACTAGGTGTCATCATTGAGTCTATGTGGGATCTATGCACATTCTCCAAGCTTAAATTATTATCATAGAATATTCTTCCTACATTAGTAGATATACAAGCTAATAACAAGTCATTCTCCTTGAATCTATTAGTTACTTATGTTTTCAATATATGATTTTTCAAAGTCAACATTCTTTGTATATTTACCACGAACAATGCAA